CTACCCACATCATGATATTCTATAGAAAGATGACAGAATACATAGAGAATGACCAACTTCTAATCCATTGTTTCTAATCTATGGGGATAAGATTCATGCTTCTCCGCGCCCACTACATGGATGATAGCCTTGTGACCTTTCTCTGTGTGTAGCATGGATGTCATTGGAAAAATTACACCCAAAGCTTCTAATGGTCATCGTTTCATCCTAGTGGCAATAGATTACTTCACTAAATGGGTGGATTGGCCTCTTACCCAGTCGACAGTCTGCAAGTTCTTGAAGAAAGAAATTATTTATCCATATGGTTTCCAAAAAGAATCATCACAGACAATTCCCTAAACCTGAAGAACAAAATGATTGAGTCTGTTTGTGCATAATTTAATATAAAACATTATAACTCCACCATTTACCGATCGAAAATGAACGGGGCAGTAGAGGCAACTAATAAGAATATCAAGAGGCTTATAGAAAAGATGATCGAAACTTAAAGAGATTGACATGAGAAATTACCATTTTCCATGTTTGCTTACCGAACTTCTGTATGCATTTCTACCAAGGCAACTATGTTTTCCTTGGTCTATGGAATAGAAGTTGTGTTACCCATTAAAGTGGAAATTTTGTCTCTTCGAGTTCTATCAGAGGTGAAGCTAGATGAAGAAAAATGGTTACAAACTAGATATGACCAGTTGATACTAATTGAGAAGAAGAGATTGAAAGCTATATGTCATGGTTAGATGTACCAGAAGAGTATGGTGGGGGAACACGATAAAAAGGTTCACCCGCAAGAGTTTCACAAAGAAGATCTAGTACGTAGAAGGATCTTGCCAATTCAGAAGGTTTTTTAGGGAAATAAATGCCAAACTAGGAGTGACTTTATGTGGTAAAGAAAGCATTCTCTAGAGAAGTTCTGATCCATACTAAGATGGATGAACTAGAGTTGCATATTCCAGTGAATTTTGATGTTGTTAAGAAGTATTTCTCCTGAAGAATAAAAAATGAGAAAAAGAAATGAAAAAAATAAAAAAATGGAAAATGGAAAAATAAAAGAAAAGTAAAAGGGGTTTCAAGATGAAAATCTGTAAAGGGCGTCTTAAAACCAAATAAGGTTTTAAGTTGAAAACTCGAAAAGGGCAACTTGAATATTGGAAAGATTCTGGATTCGTGCAAGGTGAAGGTCCTGAATTAATTTTGAATAGGCAATCAATTCTTAAAACAAAAAAATGGAAAAGTTGAAGAATGCTATCAGTTTAAATGACATCATCAGGCGAAAATCAGATTTGGGACTCATGATTGAAAAGGCCTTAATGGAAGAAGTCAAATGTTCAACTAAATACAGATAAGATTTAATGTTGGTTTTATGACATCTAACTTTTGGAGATTTGATACTCTATAGGGAACTTCACATCCTTGTGTATTGTCATAATTCTCGAGATCCTCTCTACAGAAGCTACATTTGAGTTATTCTGTGGTGTGCCAATTCAAAGTCATCCTTACTTATCTGAGAGTTCCTATTTGCTTTTAGTTTATTTCTTCCAGTTAAAGTTTGCCATGTATTTACCCAAAAACTCTTTACGTTTATATAAATAAAAAAGGTCTTTTTCTTGTTTGCACTTCTTTACAAGCATTTTACATTGAAATTAAATGCATGTAGTTTAATGAACTTGAAAATACAACATCAACGTGTATTATTATACAAAAATCTTTGGAAAATGCTTGTGTTCTGAAGCTGGAAGTGGTTTTAGCATGAATCTTGTATGATGATTGGCTTAAGGTGACTGAAATCTTGAGATACATGGAGAATTTCAACAATTTAGGGATAATTCAAAAATAATTTTCACCGATAGAGGAGACGAGTTGTTAAATTGATTGAATGCTCGTATAGAAAGGCAACCACCTTTCATTACTAAAAGTGCTTGATTTTTTTTATTGAAAACCAAAAGCAATACAGAAGATGATTCAAAGGAAATGATATTAACAAGAAGTTGTTCATGAGAATTGTCCACTTTCAAGAAAAAGGGAAACAAGGTCATGTCTAACCAAGGGTCCAGATTATGAGCTAGAGTGAAAAAATTATAGTGTCCGTGCCCTATATAGGATGCAAGAAGCGGTCAACGAGAGAAAGACATTCCTCCTGAAAATAAAAGTGCTTAAGAATTACATTATTACGTACATTTTAGGCATAAATAGAAACACAACATTCATGAACTACATGATAACAATTAAGTATTTTCAGGTCCTTCAAAGAAATTTGAAGACCATCGATAGTAAAAGCTTCAAGACATAAGTGATCACGTCGAACCCCAAGAGTCTAACCTTCCCAAAGAGTAGTGATGCATATCTCACTCCCAGATTTGATCTTCCCTGAAGAGCAATGTAACAAATCTACCTCGATTCAATCTTCCTTAAAGAGCAGTAAATTGAATAAAATTTGTCAGAGTTGATCTTTCCTAAAGAGTAGTGAAGCAGATCTCACTCCCAGATTTGATCTTCCCTAAAGGGTAGTGGAGCAAATCTACCTCAATTTAATCTTTCCTGAAGAATAGTGAAGTTAATCAAGAAATTTCTAGATATAATCTTCCCTATGAAGTAGCGGAGCAGATCTTATTTCCATATTTGATCTTCCCTGAAGAGCAGTGGAGCAAATCAATCTCGATTCAATCTTCCCCGAAAAAGTAGTGAAGAGAATCAAGAAGTTTTTAGATCTAGTCTTCCCTAAAGAGCAGCGGAGCATATCCTAATTTCTAAATCTAACATTCACTGAAGAGCAGTGGAGTAGATAAAATCCGACTCACCTTAAGTAAGGGTGTTCATATCCAATATGATCTAAAAAATAACCGAAAACCGATCCAAAAAATTGATAACCGAAAAAACCGAAACCGATTTAGTGTGTTAGGTTTTTTTTTTAAAAATCGATCGGTTCGGTTCAGTTTCGGTTTGAAAATCCAGAACCAATCCAAACCGAACCGATATCTATTACAATGAAGTGTTTCCATATTTCTTGTATAGTTGACTTTCCTATTAAGACTCTTGAATATATATAATATAGGTCCCTAAAGCAGTTACCAGATTATTCAAAATGCAAGAGATTCTTTTACCTACTGTTATGGCGATTTACAAATTTTAAATGCAAGGATTTTAAAGTATTGTGTTTTTTCCTGCACATTGTTTGTTCATCAAGAATTTTTTTAGAAACATCTAAACCGATCCAAACCGAATCAAACCGCACTTAATTGGATCGGATCTAATCGAATTTTTTAGAAACATTCAAACTGATCCAAACCGCAAACATTTATACTTTCTAATCGGATGAATTTTTAGCCAAAAACCGATCAAAACCGACCGCGAACACCCCTAACCTTAAGGTTATAGTGGAACATATTGACCTTCTAAGTCCTTTTGAGAACTCAAGTTATCCAACTGAAAAAATTGACTATCTTTTGATCTTTTCTCTATTAAAATTTCACGCGAGTAAAGAGATGCAGTTGTAATAGACTAAAAATTTTAGTCGGAACCATTTGGAACCCAAATCAATTAAACAAATAATAAACATATTTCCAACGTCCATTTAATATCCAAATTACAAGCCCAATCTGTCGATAGCCCAAATAACATATAACTTTAGCTAAAACAAAAACCTTAGCTGCCGAACAATTTGAACCATTAGATCTATGAATGATCTAGAGTCTTAGAATGAACTCTAAACTAAACTCAAATTTAATCACTATCGTCGCTGGAAGATATTGAAGAACCAATGGTTTAGATGATGAGCCTCTTTGACATCTAGATATTTTCGGAGGGTCCAGATTGTCGCGTGAGATACACACAAGGCCACCTAAACATTCCATGTGCTCGTCGTTGGCCACCTCAGTAGTACCTATGTACGAGCATTCGCACGAGCCCTAGCAGCAGTGTTTTGAAAATCGGACCGGTTCAATCGGTTCAATCGGTTCAATCGAGAATCGTTGTCTAGTCCGGTTTAATCTACACCGGTTAAATTGTTATTAGTGAACCGATCTGAACCGTTGAACCGTTCGAACAGGACTGGCTGAAAACCGAAAAAAACCACCAATTTTGTTTTTGTTTTTAAAAAAAATTAAACCAAACGACGTCGTTTGTTAAAAGAGCCAAGTCGAACTCGAGTAATGCTGAGTTCGACTCGAACTTGAAAACTTTAAAAGTAAGCTCAACTCGACTCAAACTCACGAGCTAAAAATTATCAAGTTCAAATCGAACTTAAAATATAATATTAAAATTTGAACTCGAAAAGGCTTGAACTCAAAAAAAAAATTAGAAGCTCGATTGAAGCCTAAAATTCGAGCTTAATTGAAGTGAAAGAATAGTTCACTCAATACTGACCAAAAGGCTCCATGATTTTGAATGTCAAATTACCTCTGTTATTTATACAAGTTATGTTGAGATACTCTTCTATGTTTTTTTAGCCATGTAGGATTATTTTGTTCTCATATTTTTACTCTTTAGACTTTTGGGATGCTCTTCTATGTTTCTTAGCCATGTGAGATTGTTTTTTTTAAAAAAAAAATAAATCAAACAATATCATTTTATTATGATTTTTTTAATCCTAAATTTATTTTTTAATTATAATTATATAATTATATTTATTATTTAATATATTTTATCTTAAATATTATATTTTAGTTAATTTGAATTATTTTATTTCACTTGATTTTATGATTTTTAACTTATATATGTTATGAATTATTTTATATATGACTTGTGATATAAAAAATTATTTTTTATTAAATATTTTTATTTAATTTTTTAAATAATTATATCGTAATTCGGTTCTTTCGATCGATCGAACTGATTCGACCGATTAAATAATAAACCGATAACATAATCAATTCACTAATCGATCCGATTTTGAAAACCATACCCAGCAGTCCTCTTCCATGAAAGTAGCATATGGTAAAGTCCTTTTGTATAACAAGGCTCCAAATTAAAAAAGAAAAGAGGGCATCTTTAAGCCCTCAGATCAAAGGTTACACCTTTCCTTTCCCTTCACGTATAAACAAAGCAAAGGAAGCATTTTTATCGAGGGGATGATATGGGCCTTCAAATCGGCCAGGCAAGCAACATCAACAGACCCTCATCTCACATGCAAGCATAAAGAAAGGATTTTTAAAAGGAGACATTTTTATAAAAAAAAAGGGGGGTTTTATAAAAACAAAAGTCAGAAACAAAAAAGGGGGATTTTTACCAAGGAGATTAGCGAGAAACAAAAAGGAAGAAAACCTTAAAAATCATACATTTTTCGTTCTGAAGGGATCATCGTTCTTCATCGGAGCGATTCTTCACTGGTCGAAGGTATATCCTTAAAAACCCTCATCGTTTGATAAACTTCAAAGAGTAGGGAGTTATTGTTTAGCATGTTTTCTTGTTTGAGGTTTAGAAACGATTGTTTCTATGTTTGTAGGGTTAAAGGGGTGGCTATGGTGGCTTTCACCTTGTGCCTTGCCGTCTAGAAAACAAAAAAAGGAAGCCGCTGAAAGTAAACCCGAGGGGGAAGTGATTAAGATTTTAGGTTTATAATTAAACCTTTACACGATAAACCTTTGGCCTTAGGGTTAGGAGTTGTGTTTTTTTTAGTTCATGGGTTTGTATGAACTCCTCTTATTTTTTAAGTAACACAGTCTTGTCCTCTTTTTGAGACTTAGTTTCAATTTTAACTTCTAATTTCAATATTTATATTTATGTACATTTGTCATGTTATTTTAATTTTTTTTGTATTAGTCCTGCTTTATGTTTAGGCGTTCATTTATGCTTTCAATCCCTGTATTTGGAAATCTTTGTGTGTTAATCCTTGTTCTTTGCCATGTTTACCATTAGGTCCTTAAAGTTACTGTTTTTTTTTTTATTTTTTAAAGGTTTTATTTTAGCTGAGACTTGTTTCTTAAATGTTACGTGTATATATTTACAATGATTGTCCATTTTTTAAATGTTAGCCGAGACTTTTTTCTTAAATGTTAGCTGAGACTTGTTTTGCTTTCTATTTTGCTTTCTAGTAATAAGGTTGTCCATTTTTTAAAATATCTCATATACGCAACTGGAAACAGAGGAAAGGAATAGATTTATCGTGACGTGAACAAAAATAACAATACAATTTATGGTACGGTAATAGGTATATTAAGCAAAATCATATGAAAAGAAAAGGGTACAAAATAACCTTTGACAATTAATTGATCTTGTTAACGTAGCACTAACAATGAATTAAATTTAACTATAAAATATAACATCAACATAACGTTGCATTAGATCCATTATTTGAATTTTTAAATCAAATATATTGACTTATTGTCAACATTAAGACCATTGGATACAATTAGCATTTCATAGAATTGAGTATACTCACTTAAAAATGATTAATAAGTCTGTTGTAATCAGAATTCATGAATATCTCGCTAATCATCCGGTAGACTTCGGCTTTCTCTTTGAAATAGGTTCAAAATGTAGTGAACTCCAACTTTCAAATAATTTTTTGAAATACAATAAAATTTCTATAAATTAATACTCAATAAATTACATTAAATTTCCTATATATTAATATTCAACAAATTAATAACATCTCTAAAATAATAATTTTCCAATCCTTACTTAGGCCCAAGGTCCAAATTAATATTTTTGTTAAATTAATAATATGAACTTTTTTTCTCGAAAGACTCTTATATAAATTTATAGTCCTTTAATATTATAAATTAAAATTTTATAAAATTACAAATATAAATAGGACAATTTAGTAAAATATGTTCTATTGTTGTTTGTTTATTCTTAAAATTTGAATATAGTTGTATTTTATCTTTAACTATCCTCTTCAATAGGATTTTCAATAACACTAGCTATAATTTCTTATAAATTTTGAACCATTAAACATGTATCACTTTCACCCGAATAACTCAATAAGCGATTGACATTCATTTTATTGCGGTACCCAAGGTCATTAATCATCATCACTCGTATATGAACACCATTCAATTAATCAATACAACTTATATTTTTTATTCATGAAGAATAATATAATTTCGTTGAATCAAAAAAAATCTTTAAACTAATAAATTGTTAATTTATTGATTAATTAATACCTTTTAAAATAATAAAATTATATGATACAACATTGTCAATTGGATAAATTACACCATTCCTCATTGAACTTTACTCTATCTTCTATTTCACTCACTATACTTTCAATTTTTTCAATTTACTCATTGAACTTTCAAATTGCTCTTGTTTTGGTCACCCTGAATTATTTTAATATGACATCACATTTTTTATTATTTAAATATAAATACTTTAAAGTAATTAATAAAATATTATTTTATCATTATTAAATTTAAAAAGATTGAAAATAATCACCGCTTATCGTCAACCACCAAAATCAATTGTTGTTCGATCCCAAATTTTCTTAGGTCACTTTGTCTCAACCCCTAAGTCTGAATTTAGTGATTGTTTTACTAGAAATCTCGAAACCCATGGATCTCGATTGAAGCATTTCAGTTTCCTCACTTTCGATCTCCTATTCGTGGACTTCATAGCATGTTCCAATAAAATGGAGGTTGGATTCGTAATCAGGGGGTCAAGATAACGGTTGACGATGACCCACATTTCAATTTTCTCATTTTTGATCGGATTTGAAACATGTTCCGACAAAATAAGGTCAAATTTGAAATCGAGTTTTGAGACGAAACGACAGAAGAAATTTAGGATCGAACGACCACCATTTACGACCATCAATAGTGGCATCCAATGTGATCGAATAATGGACGACCGCCTTCTATTTTTTATTCTGGGTTAACTACATAATTGATCACTTATGTTTGTATTTTGCCCACTTTTCCTCACCGATTAAAAAAAACATAATATATTGTTACTTTCGTTTTTATTTAATTAGGACGTGGCCACCACAAAATAATTGCCGTTAAATATTTTGATATAACCACACATTTGGTTTATGTTATTTATATATTCTCTTAATTTAGTTATACTTTTAATAAATTAAAATATATTTTCCTATTAACTTAATTTAAAAATATTTTGTTATTAACTTAATTTAAAAATAATTTATTTTTATTGTAATTTAAAAAATTATACTCATATATTATATTTTTTAAAATCAATAAAAAAATAAACAAAACACAAACATAAATGATTAATCATATAGTTAACCCTTTTATTTTATATTTTAAATTATTTTAATATTAAATAATAAAAAAAAAATATCCCATTATACCAAAATAATAATAAAATAATTAAGAGTAACCAACGCAAAACCAATTCAAAAATTCAATGAGTAAATTAAAAAATTAAAAGTACAGACTAAAATTAAATGAGTAACAAAAGACACAAAAAAGGATCATTCCCCGCCTGATCACCCAGAGGGAAAATTAAGAACATTTAACTTTTCAACCTCACCGTTATTAAATAGGAATATTTTCAAGACATAAAAAAACTAAAATAAATCATTCCCCTAAACGTAGCATCAAAACATTATGGAAGCAAAAGAGTACACATAAAAAATTCCCAACACTTAACAAATATTGAGACAAAGCGAAAGCAATTGTTAGATAAAAATTATAATCTCAGAACCAGCTAAGTTCGTTTCAACACCGTGATTAAGCTTTAAAAACAACTCGTCCTTCCTTCTAAGGCAGTCCCCACAAATCCAAGTCACCTTTCAGAAATAAAAAACTAAGAAGATACTTGCAAAAATAAACATCAATAAGAAATCAATCAACGAAGCCTCCTGGCTTCTCGCTCGGACTCAAGCAAGGTGAGAATATCTCCCTCCCTGACCGGTCCCTTAACATTCCTCATAATGAAACGGTTCTGATCATCCAAAAACTTGACTCTCACTTGAGTCACCTGACCTCTTGATCCAGTTCTTCCCATAACTTTCACCACCACAGCAAACTTGATATGTGAATCCATTGCACAGACAATCAAACAACACTGTTTCAAAAACATGGCACAACATTATGTTAGAATCTAAGAATTTTAGTCCAAAACTAATCTAGCTACTAACTTGATAAGGGAGCTTGAACATTAAGATCATACATCCTATTCTTAAAAACATAGAAAACATTAAGATCATATATTTTGTTTATATATGATAAGGGAGCTCAAAAAAGACTATTCCCTTTCATCAAATTTGATAGAAAAACCAGCAGAAACATAAATGGATAGTTAAGATCCATAGACTATTATTTTTTTTCAAATTATTATCCTTCAATAGATAATCAAATAATAAGACTATAGATCATATATCTAAGAACCCAATGAACCAAATTTAAAAGAAAAGGCTCCAGCAAAACAGCAATTGCCCATGAGGATTTATAGACTTCCAGTTCAGCAATTTAAGAGCAAACTTCAACAGACACCAACGTAACCTAATTCTTGAAAGCAGATTAAACAGTACTATCGCTATCTAAATTTGAACACAAACTTTAAAAGGAACCTTAAAACGTGATTACTGGACACAAAATTCAGAACAAGTTTAACAGAAACACGCTAAAGCAAACGCATCAAGGGTTCTTTAAGATACATACACGAGCATTTTCGAAACTTAACAGCACAGTTTAACAGATAATAAAGTAATCGACCCTTGAAAACATTTCAAACAGATTAAACTTGATAAAAAATCAACACTTGTATAAATTCATAAACAAATTCATAAAGAGAGAGAGGCAAAAAGAAATTCATAAACAGTGAAGAAACATTAAATCTAACTTTAAACTTAACTAAATGAAACCACGAAAAACTGTAACAATAACATATAAACAGACCTAAGTTTGGTTTGAAATGATGCGAGGTGAGCGGCTGCTGCTTCTCTTCTGATTTCCAGAGTGAGAAAGCGAAAAAACCCTAAGCTAGTCATTATATAGATGAATACGGAAATTACCGTTATGGTCAGGAGATTACAGGATGGAATTTTGGGTATTATGGTCATTTGCTACGGCTTTGATTCGGTGTGTTTAGGACGTCGGATTATCATATTTTTTTTTGGGTAAAATATAAGATCAATCACTTTCATTTAAATTTTATACACTTCTCTCTAGTGGATTTAAAAGAAATATAATATTTGATCATTTTAATTTTTTTAATTAAGATATGATCACTTTCGTTTTTATTTAATTAAGATATGATCAATGAGAGTTAATTGTCGATAAACCTTTAACAAATTGCTGACATGACATAATGAATCTATAAGATTTAAAATGATAAATTACACAAATGGTCACTAATATTTGTATAAATTTTTGTTTTCCCCATTGAAATTTAAAAAATAACAAATTAAATACTAAAACATCAATCATGTCATTGAACAATGATTTTAGGCTTAATATAAAGGGTAAACTACACCAAATACCATCAAACTTTAAACGTTGACTCATTTATACCGCAAATCTTTCAAGTTTACCAATTTTAGCATTAACGTCTACTTTTGAGTGTAATTATTCCACTTCACTGTTAATGAT